AAGCACAGAATTAAAGAGAACCAATAATACTTTGCAGCTGTGTAGAGATTCCATGCAAAGATCTCAAAGCACTTCAGAAGCATTAACTAACCAGGCATAAAAACCTCTGATTGGTAGTGTTTTACTTTGTGTACACGTTGGGAAACTAAGGCGAGCACATTCAAGAACCCACAGTAATTTAGTCTCACAGCTAAGAATCCTACTTCGGCAAGCTTTGGATCACGCCTGTGAATTTTTGGCTTGTTTATGACTCCAGCGTTTTGTCTTTTATTCACTTGGTAGAATGTGTGTTTTTTTCTTGTTTTCTTTTGCTGACTGTCAAAGAGATTAGTTTAAATTATACTATGTAAGTCTAGAAGTCTATTTTTTGTTATTCCTGCTTATTTTTTTTTCACTTACCAGCAGTTATTACTCTGCCTCTATCTCATGACAACTTGCCACAAGGACAGTTCCAAATTTAACACTGAAAAGCCTCCTGTGTTTTTTGACATGCAGCTACATCTGTATATAGACTGAATATGTAGTAAGAGGTAACAGAAGTGTTTTAAGGTGGTGAACCAGAGACTGATGTAGGAACTATAGTTATATTATGTGTCTATACTTACAGGATACTAAAGTTTTAAATCTTTTCCTGAAATGCTTAAAGAAATCTAGGTAGATAAAATACAAGCTGATGTTTTTGATTTTTATTAAATGCGTTTTATTGTAATTGCATCATTATTATACGATGATCTTTCTATTACTTTGTGTACCAGAAATAATGTGCTACTATGATCAGCTTTAAAAGGTAGGTTTTTGCCACAAGCAGAATTCTTTCTACGTGTAATTTTAGACCACAAGTTGAACTCTTCTCTCTTTTTCAGCAGATTTATAGCTACTTTTTATTTTCTGACTCCTGGTTAGATTGACCTATGACCAGAATTTCTCAAAAGTTCTCTTTGATGCCTTAGTTCTGTTCAGTTTGACCATTTTATCTCAATTTATACTCAAATCTGTACAAAAATAAAGAGTGAAACAATAAGCACGCATGGACAAATTAAAATATTGCTACAAACAAATTATTTTTCAGCTTATGATTATAATCACAAATGCGAGAATATATAACCAAAGGACTGTCACAAATAATAAGTTTTTTCTTAACTTTTAATAAGGCTAGTTGTTATATTTTCATTTTAAAAAGAAGTCCTTAAACACTATCAACTTCCCACCAACACTCAAAATTTTAAATACTGCTGGTAAAGGGAGTCAATGGATCAGATTCAGCGTATCTGAAGTCACTGAAATAAAGGCCTCTAAGAAAAATGTGTCAATTTTAAAGGTCTTTCCTAACTGAAGACCATTTTGTGATAGAGCCAAAGGTTAATAAAATCAGTAGTGAATGTAGCAATTTTACAGATAAGCTATTCACAACAAGTGTAGTTACTTGAATAAAAAGCTAATTCAGTTCTAAAATGCCACATGCAGTAGCAGTGAATAGCTGCTTTTAGGTGCTTTCTGGAGGAGGATAAAATACAGAATCACAGCACTCTTCTTTTCCAGCATCCCTGGCTGCCTGTAAATTGCTGTGAATGGGACTGTAGGCTGACAGGCTCTATTAAGACAAACTGCCTTTCTCATCGGAGAGATAAAATAAATCAGGTGTTTAGTCAAATTAAAATACTTCAGATGGAGCAGGCCCTGGGGAGCACTGATCCACCTGACAAATCTGAGAGAAACTCAAGACAGATGTGTTTTGGGGATAAGGAAGACCCCATGGAAAAAAAAATGCACTGCTGTCTTTGGAGTAAGAGAATAGGATTAGAATAGAAAGCGAGCTGTGATATATAATATTTTATGGAAGCTGGCATATTTACTGTATGTTTTTTACTAAGCTTTTTGTTTTATCTCTTTTTATGGCAGATACATTTTAAAGATAGCTATATTTTTGTTTTATTTATAGATATTTTTAGTCAGCAGAAGAAGTTTATTTACTGGTAATGAGTTTAGGAATCTCATTGCTTGCTGCAGTAAGTGGATGCAAAACAGATGATGATGGCACACAGCTACTGATGACCTCTCTTGGCCCAGCCAGATCAGCTCAATCTGGTCTGCATTCTGAGCAAGTTGTTTTTTATTGGTATTTAAACAGTAAAATATTGGCTGGGATTTTCCACTCTAAAATTAAATTATATCCCCCCCCCACCCGCACCATTCATACAACAACATTCTGCATCTTGTGTTTTTTCTTGTTTTAAGCAGTGTTCAGTTAGGTATCTTGCAGCTTCATGGAGGTCTCGTTATTTTCCAGGAGCACAGTGTACATTTTGTGGTCATCAGTTCTATTCTTTTGCTGGATTGCATAGCACAGTACAAATTAAAGAGTAGAGTACTTTAAATGGGGTCATTCATTTCAGATGTGTTTCTCTGGGAGGAAAAAGAAAAGAAAAACAATTACTATGAATTCCTGAACAAGAGCAGTTACTTCTGCCTGCTGTTGTATAAAATTCAGAAAAAAAAAAAGAAAAAAGAAAAAGAAAGTACCTTATAAATTTGCTGCAACTGTATCAAATGGTTCTAACTAATCATAACAAAACAATCGAATTTTGTAGCCTTAGCAGGCACTCTTTGTGGTAGCTTTCTACTCATATTATGAAGCAAGTACAAAGTATACAGAATAATAAGGAAATGGAGCAGGAGATTAATATCTGCTTTGGGTGCGTAAAATATTTTATGACTGTAAGATCGGGGGCCTGCATTACAATGCCAAAGCTGCTTGACAGATGTGAAAGTCTCAAGCTGTGGTTTCCCAGGTGGCAGTGGATGGCAATAAGTATCATTTGAGGCAGCAGGTTGCTTCCCATTGGCTTTCTAAAATAGGTGGATGATCTCTTCTAGCTCTGATGAGCAAGGGAATTTTTCTTGGGCAGAACAGTCTTTTACCTGTGAAAATGAATTGCAGTATACAATAACATATTCAAAATCACCTAAATAACCTTTGATACATGGTGCAAGATCTTCAAGACTGAATAATAGAGTTTAAGAGGGTTAAGGTAAGTCTATACTGAAGTGGCAGATAATCGAACTGATGTAAACAGCGTAGAGCCCAGTACAATCTAATGTTATCCTGGCAAGGCAGTACCTTCAGTGCAGATATTTTCCTGACCACATACCTGCCTAAGCTTACTTTCAAAAATCTTTTCTTTTTATTCTTTTGAAACAGCTTTTTGGACAGAACACTTTCATTGCTTCAATCATGCCTATCACACTAAGGTTTTGCACTAAGTCCAAATAGTAGCGTGTCCTTCAGGTTTAGCTTCATGCATCCATCATATTTTTGTGACTAAGAAAATTGCTAATCATTTCTAAAACTTCTACTGCAACAGAAGTTACTCATTTTCCCTTCTCCAGAGGCCTGTGTGGCATACATACTGAATTAAGATTTGGTATTACAGGGTACTGAACCATTAGTTTGTTGCAGACTCTTTTAAAACTACAATAGTTAATAGTGGTTAAGAAATCAAATATTTTCAGTACTTTATGTTGTTAAATGTAATTAAGAAATGTATAGAAAAACAGGTACCTTTTGTTTCTGGGAGTTTGCTTTGTTTCAAGTGAATGACTTAAGCCATGCAGTTTCTTTTTCCATAGAAAACAATTATAGACAGAGGTTTTCTTGTATGCTGCTTTTGCAAATGAAAGTTTAAGAATAATACTGGTCTCTCATAGCATGATGTAAACAGCAGAGCATCTTGGGTTTGTGATCTGCTTGGCAGAAGTCAGTTTTGTCTTCCCTCTCCTTATGAAACCTGTCAACTTCTTTCTTCTCTTCTGTAGAAGATATCCATCTTACTCCTGGGAAGAAGGAGGAGTCATAATTTTGGTGGCAGTTTCCCCATTCCCTCCCAGGTCCTGTTCCTCACACATTTTCTTCCTCTTCAGAATGAATGGAGGAAAGGAAGGATGCAAATACCCTCTCTTTTGTGCCACTTCTCGTATCATTGTGGCAGATTACAGACCTGACTAGTTCTTGATTTGGTTCACTTCTTCTCTAACTCTCAGTTCTCCTGTACAGAATTGCTTTATTTATCCCACTTCCAACTTCAAACCTCTTTCAGATGCTCTTCCAATATTCCTGATCTGCTACCTTACTGTAATTGTTACCTCTTGTACAGCTGTGAGGCTGAGATGCTCACACAAAGAAATGCAGTATATGGCTCAAATATGGGAGCTGACATTGCTGTTTGCAACAGAGTAATATGTTCATACGTAAGATGGGATATTTTTGGATTGATTTGCAGAAGGACCCTGTACTCTCCACTTAGGAGACCCATGCAATTTACCCATAAACAGACCATTAAGCATCATTAGTGCAAAGAATAAATGTACCGTAGTTTCATATTAATTAAGTGCTCTCAGTAGAGTAAACTTTGAAAGTTAAATGAAAATTTTTAAGCCGTTTTCTCAGGTTAGCCATTTCTCTTAGGGACAAGTGGAGCTCATTTTTAATACTCATTTCATAACCAAAGCTTACATTTACCCAAATGACCTACCAGATATATGAGTATTTTAGAGAAATGATCAATAAACTATTAAACTGCTTCTTCCATTTAACAGCATCTTTTAATTATTTTTTTTCAGCATTTAGCATACTTGGGAAAGAAAACCAACAAAATATATAAAGGGAAGGAAAATTATGTCTAATAAACTGTGAATGCATTTATTACACTGGGCAGATTTAGATGGAAAAGATATAGGGATTTGTACACAGTGCATCGTTAATTACTCCTGTCAGAAAAGAAGAAATATTCTATATCTTTTCTGCTCCAGTTTTTGTTATATCCTCCAGTGGTAAAGCACAGCAAAGCGATGTGCTACATTCTTTGGGGATTTGTTGCTAAAATATATATTCAAGCTGCCACCTGAAATAAACATGTTGGTGATTCAGCCATTTTTTTTTGTGACTATTGCTTGGTAAATATTGTCTATCTCGTATTTACAGTACATCTTTCCTGCACATTTAGGTACACCAGAAAGCCTGGCAGAAAAAGAGCGACAGCTCTCTACTATGATCACCCAGCTGATCAGCTTACGGGAGCAGCTCCTGGCTGCCCATGATGAACAGAAAAAGCTGGCAGCCTCACAAATTGAAAAACAACGGCAGCAAATGGACCTTGCTCGCCAACAGCAAGAACAGGTGAGGCTCCAAGAAAGAAACCTGTGGAAATGTTTCATGCAGAATCCTTGTCATAAGCACTGTTCTGCTTGGTGTTTCCTTTTTTTTTTTTTTTGGTAAAAGAGCTTAAATATCTTCAGAAATTACATCTGTTTCCAGAAAGAGGAACTATTATAGGACCCTGAGAATAAGAGTAGGTGTGGACATTCAAACGATTTCTTTCCTAGAATAAATGACATTTGGTAGATTTCACAGTTCTTGTTTCTTGCACTGAAATGCAAATTTTGGGACTTACAAATAAGCCAGACTATAATAATTATTTAACTCTCTTTTTGACAAGAAAATAATTCAACAAAAAACCTTAAGCATCCTCAAACCTTGAAATATCTTCTACGAGCAAGATTTGATTTGTTTGTGTTGTGGTGTTTTTTTTTTTTTTTTTTGAAGATGCAGTTGTCCAAAGAGCTCCTTTTCTCATTGCACAAAAATGTAACAACAGTGATCCCATACACTAGTCCCCTAGGCATTAGATCAGACAGATCCAAATTAATGTGTGGTTTTTAGGAATCTGACATTATTACTAGAATTATCTTTTCAGTTAAACATATTTTATAGGATATATACTGCAATATATGCTCTGTTGATTTTAATGAGTTGTGATGTCTAGTATTTTATGTGCTTGAGTATTTGCCCACATGTAGGAATATGGACTCATCCCCTAATGGAAAATAACATAAAGGAACACTGTAAAAAATCAGAAGTTAGAATGTCATTTAGCCATCCAGAGATGACACAGTAATTAACTATTGACACTTGTGAATAAGCTAGCACAAATTAATCTTGACACATTTGCAGACGAGTGATATCTTACAGTGAACACTTTGTAATTATATTTCAAAATGAAAATTAAATGACACTTAAAACTAGGTTGTCATGCTCAATGAAGCGAGCATGTAGCTCAACCGATAGGCAAATAAAATTCAGAATTTGAGCCACATGGTGCTTGTGTTCCCTACTTTACTGTGTCAAGCCTATACATCAAGACTATGCTGTGGTAAATGCATTGTGGGATATTGGATACATTTTCTGTCACAGTAGTGTTCCATCTAAGAGGAACCATTGACATTAGATGCTTCGTGGTGTATTTCTGGTTTTCATCAGGAAATACCTATTCAAATGATACTATATTGAATATACAGGTACAAAAAGCTGTTCACAAACAGTCTGAACTCTGGCAGATCAGTGCCTTTGCACATGTAAACAAAGATCTCGTCCTTGCCTTGGCTATAGCTTCCCATGTTAAGTAGCAGCCAAGTCACCAGCAGATCCAAGTAATTCTGAACATAGGACACTGGTACCCGTGAAAAAACATACAGCGCTTAGAAAGAACTACCTGTGATGCAGCTCCATGTGGTGTCTGATTTCAATGTGAAATTACAAGTAATTCCTTTCTGAAGTTGAGTATCATGATAATCTTTCTATTACATTCAGTAAGATTTTAGCAGCAGGGACAACATGTGGATGTCAACCTGACAGCACTTATCTTTAGTGATAAGCATTACACTTCTAAGATGGAGTAACACAATTGGTGTATTGCTCATTAAAAATAGTAACTCAAGCACTCTTAGAGATTTGTAAATGTTCTCTGTAGCACAGTTGCCATTAGAGTTACTTTTCCAAGCATATATGCTGCTGCTGACCACTGATCTGACAAAAGCTCACCTGAGGTCGTACGCTTGGTTTACCCAGGCACGCAGGCAGCTAGCTCTGTTTGAACAAACTTTTGCACTAGCAGACCAGGCCTTGCTTCTTCATTCTTCATTCACCATATTTTTTTTTACTTTACTGGGAGATGTATCCAGAAATATTTGAATGCCAGGTTCACAAAGGGAGTTTGATCCCTGTTACAAGCATCAGTGTTCTGGGCTATGATAGTTGCTCGATTCCTTTTCTGTGCAGCACTTTGTCTCGATCTAGCCCTAGAATCACAAAGATCTCAATTTGTCTCTTTGAGGCCATATGCAGGACTTAAAATATGCATGAGTGTTGTGTTGGTCTCCCGTACAAAAGTGAATTTTAACTGTAACAGTGAAAAAAATGACAGAGCTATTTCCACGTGATAAAGTGCAAGATTAAAAAAATGACAGACTTGATATCTGTATGTGCACAATTACAAGCTATTAATATGTAACTGCAGATTCCTTATGAGTTAATCTGAACAGTTTGCACTAAAATTATGCGATTGTTTAGTTCCAGATCAACCTCGCTACATTTCTGTAATTTTTTTTATCATAAAAACGTTTTATGTAGCTTTCTCCGTTTATAAGACAGAGAGTAAGTGTGCTTGGCAGATGGTGGGGAAGGGGATCAGGAGGGTTTTTAGCAAAACTGGAACTGTGGATTTGAGTGACCAAGCTACCTTTGTCACCAACTTTTTGGTGTTTTATGTGGTTCCTCCGCTCTAGATAAATATTTATAGGAGGGGAAATTATACTTAAGAAATGAAGGTAGCAGAAGTGCTGAGGCTGAGGTTTCCAGGAAACACAAATCTTGTCCTTGTTTCAGTCTGCTGCACAATTGCCCTTCTATAGCAGAAGTCCAGTTGTGCCCTCATCTCCCTGTAATTTCTCCCCTGTAGCTGCAGCCCTTGTTACCATTGCAGGGAGCAGCTCTGTGGTCCGAGGGCAGGATCCTATTTCCCTTCTGCTCTTGCATGCTGCTTTTGGATGGTTTGTGGGAATTGGGCGAGGAGGTGTGTCTGGGACACATTCTCTCTCATTAGTCTTTTAGCGCTCCTTGCCCTGAACACTTCTCTCTATCTAGTTAGAGAAGAGATATAGTGAACCCTTACCCTCCAGATCCCTTACTGAATATACAAAAGGAGGTTAAGACTGTCTACGTGTTTCACAGAGTTGTGTTAAGGATGAGTTAGTGAGCATCAGGTACTGCTTTTACACAGAATGAGATCCTACTTCCTTGAGTAGTTCCAAGGAAGACTGAGATTTACAAGAGAAGTAATGTGCTGCTCATTGTGAATGAAGTCAGAGAAGCTTGCCCTAGGAGCTTGTGCTGAATAGTGAAACATCTATAAATACTAGCTAAGGCTCCAGTTCAGCAAAGCAGGAAAATGTGTGTTTAACCTTAAGCACCTGAGTAATCCCATCCCCATTCAGCAAAGCATTTAATTTTAAGCATGTGTTTCGTTCCTATTGTAGCTAACAGTAATGCATCATAGTCAAAGATCACCACAGGCTTAAATGCTTTGCTGAATAGTGATGAGATTATTCACATGCACACAGCTAAACTCATGTTTCTATGCTTTGCAGAATTGAGGCTTAAGTGCTTAAAATACATATTTCTTCCTGGCTAACTAGATTTTTATGTTGCATTTAAATTTGAAATGTTTACATCACATATACAGATACCTCTAAAGTATCTTTCATTTTTTAAAAAATAAATGATGCTTAATAAAAATATAATAAAGAATAACTAATAAGATGTTTTTCACTCATAATATTGAAGTTTCAATATTACTGTTTTAATTTAATGGAAATTTTATTTCTTATAGATTGCAAGACAACAGCAGCAACTTCTGCAACAGCAGCACAAAATCAATCTACTGCAGCAGCAAATTCAGGTCAGTGTGTTTTATTGCTCTCTTCTGATTATACTTAAATTCCATTTATGGAGAGGAAAGGATCTAAAATAAAGCAGCCATGTGCTTTACTAACAAGCCTTAATAAAGACGCTTTTTGTGGAGGATCTTTGTGTCTTTGAAAAACATTGTCAAACAAAGATGTTTGGTGGAAAGAGCTTTTCTTTAATAAGCAGAGCTTTCTTCTGAAGGTTATGAACGATTTCTTAAATCTTGTATTAGTTCTGAAATCTGCAATCAGTTTGACTTGTATTGTGTGAAGTAAAAGCAGAGTCTCAATCATTGTTTATAGAATTCCTTACTCTACAAAGGCAAAATTGGTTTTACAAGAAGGTTAGAAGAATGTTTTCCATTTCGTTACCTAAAGCAACCAGCTATAGAATAGGATGATATACACTGAGACAGTACTAAGGCCCTGGGACCAGTCTGCTCAAAGACCTACAGGTTTATGTGTCCCATATACCTTTGGGGAAACTGTACCTTTGAGGACCTGGGAGTGTTCTGGAGGTATTCAATTATCTGTACTTGTACTCAGAACCTAGTTTAATTTTGCACAAATACATGCCAGTAGGGAGTGACATGTAGGTAGAGGCATTGTTGACACAACTATATTACCTTTTCTCCATCCCACTTTGTTTGAAAGCATTTCTGTGGACTTGGTCTTTGACTTAAATATTTTGGTTTGGTCTGACAGATGATTGTGCTGCCAATCATTTCTTATAAGCTTGGACTATGTGTTTTGTTTTTTTTTACTTAATGAGCTGATTGCCATGCTTCTAGATGCCAAAACTGTATTTTTTCTTTCCCTCATCCCAAAGGAATGTTTATAAATGCTTTTGTAAATATTGTAATGCAGTTTCAGTTGCAGTTTAAGAAGTTTAATTAACATATATTAATATCTTGGTACCTGGGATGAGAGAGACAACTGAATTTTAAAACACCATTATTGTCATTGCCTATTGGAAGACTGCATGTTCATATTAGGTGAACATAAAGGATGGAAGAGTAAGTAAGAATGTTTGAAGGAAATAAATACATCACCTTCTCTAAGTGTTATCTGCCAATCTGGTTTCAAAAACCAAAGAATCATGTAAAAAAAAAAATCTCCACTTGGCGTAAAAGCTAAGATTGAAACATCGCTGATTCTGCTAAACAAAATATTTACATGAGAAATTTCTAATTTTTAAAATTCCTTTAAAAATTAGGACACAAAGAGGAATCATTGCCAGGTAACTTTTGTTTCTACTTGGAGAATATGGATATGTTTTACTGGGAAGTATCCTGCTCTGTAGTAAAAAATTTAAGGGTACTTTACATTTCAGCTCACCCAATATTTTCCAGTAGGTTTACCCTTCCACTGACTTTGGGTAAGTTGATCTTAGAATAGACTGAAGGTTCATCTTCTTGTTTGCCCAGTTTTCCTCTTTTACATGGTGCTGAAGCCTCCACAAGTTTTCTTTTTCATCCTTTCCTAAATGTATATGCAAAGAAGTGTTTTAATGATTGTTATGTTCATGTGAGCTAAATTATTTCTTGGTGATCCTTTTCTGTATTTGTTTCAAAATTCTTGCCGATTTAAGCTACTCTTATTCCATAGTTCCTCAGTAGTTTGACATCTTTGTTAATTCTTGTATTTACATGAATCTAATCAGCATATTTGAGGCAGTGAGGACTATTTCCTATCCCAGCTTGTTAGCCAGATAGGTAGTGGGCATCTCATTGCCCAAGAAACATTGTAGGCTCCAATATGAAGCGCTAGGCATGTTGGGCAGATGCCATGTCAAACATACATTGATCTCATGAGGATTACTGAAAATAAAGTTTGTTAAGAGATTGTTTCCTAGGCCAAACACCAGCTTACACAGTTTATCTGCTTGTGAGCCAAGTGGTTCTTCTTTGTTTATTTGTTCTTTCTTAATTCTGTGGCAGGTTGCTAGCCAGGAGTTGTTCAGGAGAGAAGTTATTTGTGAAGTTGCCTCTTAACAGTTTTTTTTGCTATTGAATTGATTACGAATGTTGCAGTTTGTTGAGACCTGTAGCTGCCTAAGGACTATGGTTCGATGGAGGTAAACCAGGAGGCAGGCGAGAGGTGCAGGGCTGTGCTTGGACTCCCAAGTCCCCTCCCAACATATTCCCAGGAAACCTCAGTACCTGTACTGAAGTCGTGCTGGTGACGCTGGGTGGAATTCATCATATCAAAAGTAGATAACTGCAGTGTAGTGTCTGTCTCAATTAATTATCCAGACTGTTTTTATAGTGAACAGAGAGAAGCAGAGTGAATAGTTTTAGGATGCGATTCATCTTGTCCTAAAGTAGACATTTAAAATATGTCAAATGAATTGTTCCTTAAAATGGCTGTTTCTCTCCATTAACTATAAAGGATACGGATGCTGATGCCTCTAGTGTAGAGCTCTGAAGTGAGGTGAGATGAATCATGCTCTCTGGGGCTTGAGGAGAAAAAAGAATTTTCTAATAAACGTTTACATTCTCAGTTTAGTTTTTGGGCTTGGCAGAATTTGGAACTGCCTCTTCAACAACTTGATTTTATTCGGAACGTCAATTTGTTTAAAGACACTCTTAAGCAACCCTTTTCAGGAAACAGTGATTACTTGTATAAAATGGCGTGGATTCTTATCTATACTTTGTATGCATGGAAAAACAATTGTACTCTTCTCTGACACTTCCCTTTTGAGGAGATTAGAAAATATGAGCAGCACAGGTGCCAGTTCCATCTGGGCATGGGCCTGTTCATGGCACAGCTACTTGAAATAAGTACAGTATGTCCTCCAGAACGCAGGAGTGGAGCGTTGGTGATGCAATGTTTTCATCACGAGACAAAGTGTACCACTGTCATCTTCTGAGGTACAGTGTTACATCTTGAACAACAATTTCTGTGAATAAGTGCATCCAGTTTATTTAACCATTTAAACAATTAGAAATTACTTTAGATGGGGCTTACAAGACATCCGTCAACCACATATAAAAGTGGAACTAATTCATATTAAATAAAACACATCTTTCCCTGGACACCTACTGCATTAATTTACTGAGTATTTTCATTATTTGGTATTTATTATTTACATTATATTGTATATTATTTGTTTATCTAATAATTTTAATACCTTATTTCATTTAGTTGTTTTTTTGATTTGTTTGGGTTTCAAGACCATTTACTGGAGCACCTTAATCCAGACGTGTTGTGCATCTAAAACTTTGTCAACAGTCTATGAGCAAAGAGGACATTAGCTAGACTTAGCACAGGAAAACAACATAGGTATTTCAAGAGTACTGAGTCATTAAACGTTCTGCATAGTCGTCTTATGTTTTCCAAGTGAAGCTAATGTTACTTTCAGGGTGTGCGTGTTGGAGAAAGCAGTTTCATCTGTTGGCTAAAGGGAGTGGGAATGTGGAGTGGTTCTCAGTTCTGTTTCCGATTATCTGAAATTTGGCATATTGTTTCCTGTTCCTCAATTGAAATATAATGTTTTTAGAATCTTAAATGAAAGATTTCAAATAAATGCATTGTATTATTACTTTTCAGCTCAAATGCTCATAATGTTCATAAACACTCTTCTACAGAGGAGTCCATAGAGATGGCAGGAAATCTAGTGTGTCAAATTAAGTCCTTCGTTCTGCAAAGCTGTGCAGAGAAATCATTGCTTTTAGTGTAAATAAAGTTGAGAAAATACTGTAGAGCAAGTAGGAGTTCACAGATCAGTCTCCAGGTTGATTCAGATTTTTTAAAATAACTTTCTTTTTCATTTAATAAAAAGTATTCAATCTTAAAGTAGAAGGGACAACATGAGACTATTTCAAGGACATCTCAGTCTGTGCTGTGAAAGGGAAAACTAAGGATAAGGGGAAAAAGCTGTTTAAAGGAGGAATTTGGTGGTACATCATGAAGATGAGACTACATTGGAAGAAGGGAAAGCTTGCATCTCTAGAGCAGTTCCAACCTGTTCAGGCCCTGAAATCCCTATGAATTCAGTGCCTCATTGGCAGAATTCAGTCATTTCAAAACAAGGCTTGGGGACTGCTTCTGACCCCGCCACATTCAGCTGAGGAAGGGGATCAGATCCCACTGATGCTTGGAGCATGTTGGTCCAAGATTTCCCTAGGGAGGATGGGATTTAAGAAATGAAAGTCTGAGGGTCTCCCTCCTCTGGTGGGCAGGCTTCGTTAGGACAAGTCCTAAACTGTGGTTGAAATCTTTAAAAGAGGTGCTGGTTGTTGAGCTTTTCTGAAAAAACTTGCGGTGGATATTACAGTTACAGCTGATCCAAACTGCTTTCATCCATTTCCTTTCGCCTTGTTCCTCTGTACTATGCTCAATGCCATTGCAGAGCATTTCATTTTCTGTTTGAATTGGTATGATTTCCATTGCATAGAAAAACTGGCTTCCTCTGATCTCATAAGTATTTGGTTTTAATTCAGTCACTAGAAATTACTCCTAATAGTATTTTTTTTCCCAGTATTAAGCATACATTCATGCTGTTGTAGTTTCATATTATGTTCTTGCATTTTCTGTTTCAGTCAAGAAGAGTGAACATTATCACTGTGATAGTAAACAAACAAAAGAATAGTAACATAAAAATTACAACTATTTAAACTGTCCTTGAATAGGAATTGTTTGAATCATACTTGAAACTTTAGAAGCTGAACCAATGAGTCTCTCTTCTTATCCATGATTAACTACTGACAATTCAGGTACCAGGTGAGCTGAATAAGGACTATCTCTTTATGTGAAGTACATGTCTAAAGATCAGGAATAATTACATTCCACATTAGCCTTCATGGCCTCCCTGACCTGGTTAATTAATTTTTTGCTAGGATAATAATAGTAGAAATAGATTTAAAGATATGCTTCATCATTAAGTATGTAACTGACCTCCAATTTTAAGAGCTGAACCTTTCATTTATTGCCTTTTGGAGACAGGTTATGGCTCCTTGCAGCAAGCTTGCTGAAAATGCTCGAGCTGGAA